TTGGTAAAACACTTTCTAGGACTCTTTTAGTGTAAGTTACACGTGGCTGGCCTTCAGAGTTCTTACATGTAAATGTATTATGCAATCCATCTTTGCCCTGTCTAAGATATATTTTCTTCAGACTATTCAAATTTAGACCTGAACTGGCAATATTTTCAGCTGTGGCCAATTTACAAATGCCACAAGCAACAAAACCTTGTAATGTACACAGATTTTTTGCCTTTGCTGGATAAAAAGTTAAAGTAAACAGCCCTTGGAGAAAAAGTAAATTTCATCAGGTCTTGTACAGATATCAATGAGCAGCTGTGAGAAAGTATTTTACACAAAGCTGTAACATCATCTTCGGCAGTATGTGCATTATATGTATATTGTAATACGTCACGAACAAGGTCTTCCTGCTTATATGAAGGTCTTCCCGGGAAGGTTTTCTAAATAACGTTAATGTGTCCATTAATCCTTGTGCACATTTAACAAAACTATCTATTTTGCTAGTGTTGCATAAGGCTGAAATAAGCACAGGGAAGTCAAACCTTCTACATTTGTGGGCAGTCACAATAACATTACTGTATTTATCAAGCCACTGTATAAGACTGTCCAAAGCACAATTAATGTCAACTGTATCAACAACAGTCCCGTTTACTGTCATAATGTCACCATTGACTCTTATTCCTGTCGCTTGCTGGGCACCTGTTGAAATTGGCATCTTGGGCTGTACATATACACAGAATGTTTGTCCTATGCCACTGCTGGCAACATTGGCAGCAATCTGCGTTATGTGGGGCATTTGTCCAGCACGAACTGAAAATTAAATAACTTCATATTTATTAAACATAACAGGACTATTCTATTTACACATCTTATTCCTTATTTTTCAATATTCAATTCTCTCATACTTTGAAATCAAAATGAAATTAAGAGACAAAAATTATTTAACACTTATATATATACATGTGTTAAAGTCAGTTGCCCATTGCTCAAACGCAAAGAATAATTGCATGTTTACCTAAAGAGGATAACTTTTAATACATACAATAAATAGAATTGAACCTGGTTGCAAATTAACAGAATTAAAATATTTCTTAATGAACTAATAAGAAAAGGTAAAACTGGTTTTATAAAAGGTTTTGTAAAAGGAAGATGGTATTGTGATTTTTTACAGAAGATAATGGCATTCCTGGATACCATCTTCTGAATGACTTTAAGAGACATTCGGTTCACCTTATTGGGATTTGTACAAACTACTTATTTCAACATAAGTACATCAATTAAACAGTGGTTTGACATCTTTTATGAAAACCTACATCAGCTGTTCATGCTATATATTTATAGAATGTGCGGAAGTTCTTTTCTGAAAGTTGAATACTATAGAAAATATTAAAGTAAAACAAATTCAAATCAATTAGGATCATAAAACAAAATGATCGAAAATAACTTTAAAAATATACTATCCTCATTTTGGGTTCAATATTTTATATCAGAAATCCATCACCATAAAATCCATGAAATTATTACTGAATTTGTTTTAATGCGTGCTTTTAAATAAAATTGCGTGGGTTTCTAGATGAGTGGTTGATGTTTTCCCGTTAATGAGTCAACAGAGCTGATCGAAATGTAGTTTACTACATTATATATAACATACATACTTCGATTCTTTCTCGTACATAAAAGTTATAAGAAAATGAGGAGTAAATGATAAAACTTACGTATATAATGTTGACATAATACCATATTATTAAAAAACACATTGTACTTTTGGGACCATAAGGAGTGTTCAAGTTCAATATAGCGAAAAACACGAGGATATGACGGAAATCGGGTAGATATACATGGTTAGCTTCATATTTATGCCACATACATCCAAATTCGTTCAATTAAGCTGTGTTTATAACGCGGTTTAGATTGTCGTCCCGTATACAGTGACACTGGTAGACAATTAAAGTACGTTCTTATAATAAGTATTGTTGACGGCCAACCATTATGGTATATATAATTCAAATTATAATGTATATGGAAAACTTTTATAACAGTCAAACATGTAATTTATTAAGGATAAAATTGCAGTAATTATGATAAGCATTTTACCAATTCAATTTGAAGAAAACGTGTCAGACAAAGACAAAGAATGAAATATAGACTGTCAAATGCAATTTCTGATTTGCATTTTGTTAAAATGCATAAAATTTAAGTATTTTTTTTTTCAGTAAAAATAAAAAAAGAAAGGAAAAAAAATTACAGATAGAATTTAATCTTTCCACAATATTCTAAGACCAAAAGTACAATTATTCTTGAAATAAAAGTGACATAATTATGTAAGTATATACAAGTATAATAAAAGTAAATGCTGTCAACTTCTAAGAACTAACGAAGTCAATAAAAGCAGAGTATTTATTGTATACAGTTCTATGTAGTATTAGCACTATCTAAATTACCTGACCTGAAGTGTACAGTTATCTAATCGTTTCAAAACATATCGTACACTTAAATAATTGGACAACAAGTTGTCAATACAAATCTTTTAATAAGAGCTTTTGATATGCAACTCAATAATGAGTTTCTACATAAATAAAAACATTGTAAGTAGAAATAGCAACTATATTATCCACGATATGGGATTTAACTATATGACATTTTCACAGAAACAAAATCAGTTTACGATTGCTTATTACCTATTGACTTCTATGCAATTTTAATAGTGAATAAGTTTTTAACTAATTTTATAAATATACTCACTCTGATGTGTGTTTATGTTTTCTCCGTATCGTTATATTAGACCTCCTTTTAAAGAGTATCGTACCTCTGTACGTTCGACCGTGAGATACAGACATTTGACAGTATGGCTGTTTAGTAGATTTTTCTATAATTTTGTTAGTTTGAAAATTATTATATAGGTCATTCAGGCATAACTTTTGTATAGACAGTAAATATCTAATAAAAATGAAATTGTTTCCATTATCATAATACAGTAAACATCACATACAGCGAACACGGTTATAGCGAACTTCCTGTTATAAGGAACAAAAGTTTTTGGCCCGAATTTTGCCCTTATTTATTTAATGTAAAAAATTACGGTTACAGTGAACACGGTTATAAGGAATTATCGCTTATAAGGAACTAATTTTTAGCTCGACTATTCGATAAGAATAAGTAGAGCTATTGTAGTCACCCGAGCGTCGGCGTCTGCGTCGGCGTCGGCGTAACCACTTATGTTAAAGTTTTTGTAATAGTTCAAATATTTTCAAAGTCCATTGACATATGGCTTTGAAACTTTGCACACTTGTTCACCATCATGACCCCAATCTGTAGACAGGAGGAGGTAACTCCATCAAGCATTTGGACAGAATTATACCCCTTTTTCGACTTAGAATTTACATTAAAGTTTTTGTAATAGTTCAAATATTTTCAAAGTCCATAGACATATGGCTTTAAACCTTTGCACACTTGTTCAACATTATGACCCCAACCTGAAGACAGGAGGAGGTAATTCTATCAAGCATTTTGACAGAATTTTGCCCCTTTTTCGACTTAGAATTTACGTTAAAGTTTTTGTAATAAATCAAATATTTTCAAAGTCCATTGACATATGGCTTTGAAACTTTGCACACTTGTTCAACATCATGACCCCAAACTGAAGACAGGAGGAGGTAACTCTATCAAGCATTTTGACAGAATTATACCCCTTTTTCGACTCAGAATTTACGTTAAAGTTTTTATAATAGTTCAAATATTTTCAAAGTCCATTGACATATGGCGATAAAAATTTGCACACTTGTTCACTATCATGACCCCAACCTGTAAACAGGAGGAGGTAACTGTATCAAGCATTTTTTTACTATCAAGCACTAAGAATAGTCGAGCGTTGCTGTCCTACCGACAGCTCTTGTTTAGTCACAATGACATAAAAAGTACAGAAAATTACACTTTTATAACGAACTCCAAAATATCGGCTATCCGTAAACAGATCACGCATTGTCTACTTTCGTTTTAATCGGCACAGATTAAAACTTGGCCGAATGTAGCGGATATATTAGGAACACATAATGACGATGACAGTCAATCTTCGAAAGACGAGATCTATTTAGATGATCACCCGGTTGTGTCAAAAAAATGAAGCTATTGATTGTTTGCACAAGATAAGGTCATACTTCGAGTCTAATGCACATGTTGAAGAAACAGTTTTTAAAAATTGTATATTTAATTTAACCTGAAGAGTTGTAAACATTCCAAAACTAAAATTGGCGACTTCTTCAAAGCAAAGTGAGTATTTTTGTGCATGATACTGTATCGTTAATAAATAACAATATTGCATACATGGTACATATCATATAATTGTCTTATAGATATATTTATACATAAAAATTATACTAAAAAGAAACAACCTTGCAATTATTCCTTTTTTTCATTATTAAATTAATATACGGGAGACAACAATGACTAACCCAAGAGTTATTTCTGTTAGTCGAATGCTCTTCTAAATAGAGGATGATGGTAAACAATTAGTTCGTTATATGTAAAACTGTTCGCTATAAAAACTTCTGATACAAGGAACTAATTCGCTATTTGCTTACAAGGAACTCCGGATATAAGGAACAGATTTTGAATGTCCCAATGAGTTCGTTATAAGCGGAGTTTACTGTACATAATTAATATAATATACTAAGCCATTATAGCCTAATAACAACAATAAGTTGAATATAACAATAATTACAGACGACAATGTTGCTGCACTTAATGAGATATTAAACATAGAATATCCTTACTGTTTTCATTTGTTCGTTAAAAGATATAACCAACACCGTTGTTATACTTCATGAGATATTAAAGATAGAATATTCTTACTTTTTTCATTTGTTTGTCAATAATATAACCGGCAAATTTATCAAGGCAATTAAACCCAAACCAGAAATTGCGATTGGGGCATTTTTTGCATAAAATATATTTTTTTTATTTTAAAATTATTTATAATATCATCATTCATATAAATTTTGAATTCATTCTTGAAGTTCGATTGGTGAATGGGTCAAATCCAACTGAAGGGAGACTGGAAGTATGGCATGATGGGTCTTGGGGAACAGTGTGCGATGATGACTTTACAACGCTGTCTGCAACTGTTGTTTGCAAGATGTTAAATTATCCACAGTAAGAAATAAAAACGACATTAACGTATTTCTTGATATGTTAACATGCATGTTATATAGAAGAGAATGTATTTTATTTCCCGGAGATAAGCTATTGTGATGACAGTATGTTCATCTTCCGTTGGTTCTTTACTTAAGTTTCTTTTTTTTAACAAAAAGTCTTAAATCGTGAAAGTGATTTCGATCAAAGTTCACATAAAAAACTGTTTCAACCTGATGTAAAGGTCAGAAAAGCTGGAAATAAGATTCTTCAATGTCCCAGATCGATATTAATCATGCAACATCATATTTCATACCTCTTAATAATTCCCCTTAGGTCATTAATGGTCACGTACCGTACAATTTAGTTTATGTATAGAGACATAAATTAATCAACTACCTTTGAGCTTTGACATTTAGCATGTAGCACTGCCTAGAATACTTTTACGAAACTTATATTAATTTTGCCGTTTGGATCGATCAAAATTTTTAAACAATTTAAATCATGCCATTATGGACAAAACAAATTATCCCGCCTTAGGGACTTGTATGGCAAACATGTCGTAAAAGTCTATTTTTTGAAACTACAATGCTCAGAGCATACATATTTAAGTTATAAAACTCATCCTCTTGGATCAAAGTTGGTCTAGCAAAGTTAATATGACATTAATTTAAATCATGTTTAGAAACTACATGCAGCTTGGATAAAAAATACACCCAATGTGATCACATCACTTTTTTAATCAACAAGAGAAATATTAATTTACGTTCAGATTGCGACAGCAAAGTGCATTTAAAGTGACCTTAATACATGTGTAATATCTCAAATGTAATACAGTTGAATGAAGGCAAAAAACATCAATTTTCAAACATCTTGAATATGTTATTTGTTCACATTTATTAATTCCCTGAAGAAAACAAACTTTTCAAACTTGTCTTTTCTATGCAAAATAAACAGACGTTTGTTTAAAGTTAAGCAGTATTGTATAATTTCAAAAGCAACGTTTTTATTTTACAATGACAAACATGTTGAGATTCAAGCTATTGACTGATGTTATATATGTCATGATAAAAAAACAACAATTAAATCACTTTAGATGAACACATCTGCTGATGTTTCTTAATTCAAATCTCACCATTACATTAAATGTTGAATACTGCTTAGGCCCGTGCTATAGAGCATGGACGGTTATTTGCAATTTCCATACTAAATCAAACCGTGCCTGCAACATTGTCAATTTTGCCGTTTTGAGTGTTACTTGGAGATTCTGTTTTCTCTATTTTAGTACAGATCCTTTGGTCATAATGTCCGCATACTTCGGCGCCGGCAAACTGCCAATACACTATGTTAATTGTACGGGAACTGAGATAAGCTTACCGCAATGTCCACCTAGAAGTCGGGGATCAAATAAATGTAGTCATAGTGAAGATGTCGGCATATCATGTACTAAAGGTAATTTTCTAATCTTTGAAAAGAAACATATTTTAAAATACCAAAATTAATTTATATTGACAATTTATAGTCGGCATTTTATAGTAAAAATTGGTCTCCTTTAATACTTTATATAATGATGGTAACCGATCAAGAGCAGAAACAGAAACTTGCACTTTGACAGTATATCGGAAAGTGTTAATCTCTTTTAAAGTTTTGAACTACAATGTTTTGGTATTGGTAATCATAAGAATTACTGATTTGAACAAAACTTGCTTTATTCACATGTTGAAATTGTGGAAAGAGAGATAATAATTTTTTTATATAACATAACTTAATTTTGAGCATAATGCCAAAACTTGAATAGATAATAGATAGATAATTTTCATTTTATTTTATAAGCTTCATAAGATATACGATGGATGATCAAATATGAACCGGACTGGGACTGTCAATTAAAGAATTTTCAACCTATCAATGATTGTTATATATCTAACTTAATCGGAAAATAATACCTGTTAATTGGTGCTATACATAATCTGATAACGTGAATAGCTTGTCCATAACAGCAAATTTAAAAAACATGGTAACGCACACCCGATGCAGTGTATTAATTTGCGCTGACACAAGGCGCTTTATGATGCGTATATTTTACTATATGGCACATTTAGATTTTAAAATAGGCAAAAACGTCATGAAACATACATTTGACGTTGTCAGAAAAAAATGACATTATTTAAGCCATGTTTATATTTGCAATCACAATTTAAACGTCACTTGTTAAAAAATACTCCTGTCAAAACTATGTCGTCTGAACGTCTCCGAAATCGATTAATAAGAAATCTTTGTCAAAAATAATGCGAGAAACTGTTTCAAACGTAGAAAAATTTAATGACTATAAAGGGAAATGTCCCTGGAAGCCATAACATAGTTTTTCATTAGCTCAAACGATTAAGAAAGTTTAATATAGAAATAGAAAACAAGGGAGAAGCAAAAAAAAAGATGTTGGTGACGCCAATCGCAGACGTTGAAACATGGCAGCCGATTGACTGCAGACATTGTCAACGATCTACGGCAGTAGCTTCTGGACGGTGCAGTCAACTATTACTTAGAATTATAAAATTATAATTGGTAATGCATTAATGACAAATATTATATTCCTGGTTTACAATTGTATTAAATAATTTATTATTTTATATACAATTGTCTTTCAACAGTTTGACAGCCACGGCTCAAAATCAGCTATGCATTTTATTTATTTTAAAATAATGGCAATTTTGTTGTAAGTTTCATTTTTTTCTCGCATTTATGATGCATTATCATTCAGCAACATTATGTTAATGTAAGACCTAGTGTAGTTTATTACATGTGCGATTTGTCGAGCAATGGAGTTACAGAAGGAAAGAACGATAATTTGCGTAAATTCAGGAGCTCATTATCATCATACATTCTATTACAATACAATATGATACCGTATTGAACAGAGATATATATTGGCAATGGATCTGCCACCGTCAACAACATGTGGAACACATATTGGCCCATTTATATATAAGTAAACAGCTGTTCCGTTAAAGACAATACGCTTCTGACGTCGTTAGACCGTGCGCCGCATTGCTTTACATGTACATGCCAATAACTGCATAACTTTTTTTATTTGTCAATATTTCGGTTTTGGCGTTGTAACTTTTATTATCAAAAGATCAATCAAGTTCGCTGGTTATCCTGTTTGAATGATCACATCACAAAATTTAAGACCCTTTTCAAAAGACTTTCAGTGAAGACAAGACCTCATAAGTACCTAGTTGTAACTATAATAGTTGTACCGAATAATGTCAATATTTTAATATATTGACAATAACATCGTCTTCTTCAGGCAATTCCTCTAAGAAATATCAAAGCAATAACTATGGTCTATTTCAACATTTTGTTGGTTTACCTTAGCCCATGCGGTCTGAACAAAGATCAAATTTTATGAATGCTTTTTTCAAACATGTCATGAAATAAAAATGAAGCTGTACAAGTTTTCTATTCAATTTCTAAATTAGTAAATGATGACAATACCATTTAAGCTAAAAAGCGACACCGTGTAAACTTTCGAGAAGCGTCTTGGAAACTGAAACTGACATACAAATACTAGTAGTTGACCATATTACATATTAGATTCAGTTTATTTTTTATTTTTATTTTATTATGTTTTTTTTGTATATAGTTTTACCATTGGTTCTTGTTGCTGGGTCATATGGGGGTTGCGTTCATTGAACGCCGCCTTTCCTTGTTGATCTTGTTTATCATATTTTAGCCATAATTTGTACACATGACGTCAAAGTTGAACACCAAAACATGACGTCGATGCTTATCCTTAGCAAATGTGACGGGTATCACAACGCCACCGGCTAACAAATTATTAAAAATTCTACTGTATCCGGCGGAAATTATTTTTTTCTTATGATGATATAAAAATTTTCGTTTTACACCGACAAAAATTGAAAAAATGGAATCAAAATTGTCATTTTTATTTAAAATTAAATTTGACATTCAGTTAAGCGACATTCCTGAAATATATTTTTTATTTTATTTTCTTAAAATGTAAACTCAGTCTAAATGACTGCACAAATAAGGGATACACGGTACACGATACACGTGATTTCCCCCCCCCCCCCAACTTCTTTGGATAAAAGTCACTCTAGTTACTTTCTTTTGTCAGTCAAATGATCGCCCTGTTATAAACGCTATCTAACGCCATTATGAACACTGCATAAAATGTAGTGATACACGGAAGTGTACAGTATTCCGTATATAAATATTATAGACGGGTCAAAATTCGTGAAATTAAAAAAAGAATAAAAAGATACGTAGATGTACAGATCCTGTGCATCTTTCTTTTAATGTGCGGGAACTTTGTTGAACAAAGTTCATTTTATTCAAATACTGATTTTATTTTATATTAAGTCCAGATTTTAATAAAATATGGAGGTTCGTATTCTTGCAAATATATAAGATTTTGTATATGAAAATAGAGAATCAAGATGTTCTCCAGAATTACCCACTTTCTTTAAAAGGAAAGAAATAGTCTGAACTGACATTTGTCAGAATAGCATAAAGTAGTAATGCTTTAAGAAAATTAATTTTCCCCCGGTTTTATTAACATGTCAATTGCATACTGATTATATGGTTAGTGACAAGAACATAAAAAAATCGACAAATCCTCGATAGGGTCGGTAGCAAACGAGAAAACGACAATATATATTGAACTATCTTATTATTTGTATGAAAAAAAAACAGAATCCCTAAAGAACCCCAACACAGCAAAATTGGAAATTGTGCAGGTTTTGTTTGGTTAAGCGAGTTCATGGACGTAAGTGGTAATTGCAAGCTACCGACCACGCCCCCTAGCACAGACTGAAGAAAAATCCAATATTTAACATGCACTGGTAAAATTTTGAATTTTGAATCATCCGCAGATGTGTTCATATGGCGGTTATTGTGGAATATACAATGTGACACGTTAGTGGTATTAAATGAAAAGCGAGATATTGTCCTAAAGTAAAAATGCGTGTGCCCAAAATGAGAAAACAAAGGACAAAAGTAAATAAAATGGAATTTTGAAAGAGGATCGGGGAAAATAAATTAAGGGACCGAAAAGACATGACTAACATCACTGTTGTAGTGGTCTACAAGGCAATGCCTCATGCCGAATATCTATGGTCCAGGCATTGTAGTTTCGTAAAATAAGACATTGGTAAATGATTGTCCTATATAAAACCTATATAAATCAAGTAACATCCAGGGCTGGAAGTCACTTTTTGCTTAAGAAAGTCCATAGTTTCTAAGGAACTCATTGGCTGCTGCGAAAAGTTAATGGTAGCGACGTCGGTCTCTGGTTGCCATTTAGATTTTATAGCTGCTATGAAAGTTGCTGGTTGCGTAGAGATGACAACGGTTTCTATAAAAGTCTTTGATGGTAACAGATAGTTAATGATTGCTAAGTAAATCACTGGTTGCTATTGACAATTAACTGTTGCTCTGAAAGTCAGTGATTGTCATGGAATTAACTAGTTGGTATTGTAGTCAGTGTTGCTAAGGGTAGTCAATGGTTGCCAAGGGAATATAATTGCTGCTTTGGAAGATACATGTGGCCAAGGGAACTTGATTGGGCACACCTTGGTACCAGGGCTTTAATGGCTTTAATTTGGACAATTTTGTTAGAGACACACTAGAGGATGTTTTATTACAAATCTCTAAGTATGTTAGGTTTCAGAGAAGATGCTTTCTTTAAGATATTACTTTATACAATAGTGAAAGAAAATCAATAACCCCCTCCCCTCACATAACAGGGCTAAAACTTCAATAAACATAGTAGAGGCTCATTAAACCGATGTTTCATTTTTTTATGTAAGCTCTAACCCTTGTGGTTTTTGAGAAAGAAAGTTTCAAAGATAGATTTTTTTCAGTTGTCATGGCAAACACAGATCTTGCTGGAATGAAATTTTTAGCAACTTTGAATAAAGGCCTCCTAGAATAAATATTGATAATATTGACTTAGGAGGTTTAGGAGGTAAATTGTTCAAAGATGTGTTGACACACAGACGGAGACCGAATCGTGAGTGGTGACAGTTGCTTTCTTGGGCACGTTATGCTCAGGTACAAATGTTAGGTTGATAAAACTAAGTATGTTGACAAATGAAGTTTGTGGACGAGAGAAATGTGAATGTTATGATTATAAAAATAGTCAAAACAATGAAATTGATACATAACTGAGATATTATGATGACACAACCGGTTTACATTTGATCGCTCCATGTAAAAAGTCATTAAAAATGCACAAATATTATACTCTTTAGTTATTTGTCGACTCTTAAAGATGTAAAAGATGGACAATTTAACGACCAACAAACGCAAAATGATAAAAAGTATTATAAGTATTGTTGAATCAAATATTTACTTTTTTTGAAGTTCGGCTGGTTAACGGATCAAGACAATATGACGGGAGACTTGAGGTATGGCATGATGGGTCTTGGGGAACAGTATGCGATCATGAGTTTACAGCACTGTCAGCTCGTGTTGTTTGTAAGATGCTGAATTATGAAGAGTAAGTAAGAAATAGTATTTACTATTTCCGTTTATGATAACGTACACTTCAAAAGACGATGAAAAAAATATGTTATTATCTATTTCTAAAATATGTTCTGGAAAGAAATCACAGTAATTCCGTTTCGCTAGTTGCTTTTTTATCGAAGCGGTTCCGTCGATCATTGTTATCCACAATTTCTTTTAACAAAATTATTTACTAAACATTAAGATTTCGTCAAAACTGCACAGGGGGTCTTGTACAAAAATTGTATAAATGGTTTCAGTCTGGTGCATAAGATCACAGGAGCGAACTAAGAATAGATACTACAATGCCTGAGATCGGAATATCTATTATATAATATCACTTTGTAGGCCTGTAGAAACATGTAATAATTAACCATTCCTTCAGGGAAATAAATGGTCCGACACCGGGAATACTTAGTTTCTAGAGACGTATACAAATATTGTGAAACATGGTTAAATAATTTTGTGTAATTTACAAAGCCCAGAACTAAGATATTTGGCATGTATAATTGCCTTGTACAGTTTACCAAAGTTATCTTAATCATTCCTTTTATATCAAAAATATTTAAATCAAAGAATCACTTAGTAAACAGACTCATATCGTAAACATGTCTTACATTTTCTCTCCTAAACAACAATGCCCACATAAGTTATTATTCATGCCATTGAGGCGGTTCATTGGCCATTTAATTAAAATAGACTTATTTATTTAACATGTCAGGTCTTCTCTTCCGAAACTTCAAGCGTATAAAATTGTAATGGCATATAACATAACAGGGGAATTTTCCCCCTGGAATCAAAATCATTCGGTAAAAGTTTATAGGAAACTTCTTGTTTAAATACTACAATTCCTAGAGCTGGAGTAAGATTTTCTAACTTCTACAAAAAAAACCCATAAATTATGCTGCTTAAACTCAAAATATGATCTTATTGCTTTTTTTTAAAAGGTAAACTAGAGAAATATAAGTAAACGTTCAAACTTTTATGTCACTGTGCATATATATTCTGCATTAATTAGACCAAAAATAAAAGTGATTGAAACATCAGTCTAGACTTGTTTGTATTTCATTAATATTATCACTGAAGTCTACCAACTATTCAAACGTGTTTGTATTGGGAAAAGTAATTAAAGATGTTAAAACTTTAAACCAAATTTAATTCATGTTGGGTTTGATTTTACATGGCCAGGTTTGATATCGGCCTGAAAATAGCGTAATGCATAATCAGTCTGTAAACGTAAATAGGGACATCGATAACGAACAACATTAAGTAGGGGAAAGTGAAATATAATCCGCACCGCTTTTCACAAGGCAAAAATCACTATAACTAGTAGAACCAACAATTTTCTATTATGTGTTTACAATGTTTAGTAGAACCAGTAGACGCATAATATCTTTTAAAATGAAATGATTTATTTTACGGTTATAACAGCATTGAAATCTGCCAATTGCAGACAAAAAAAAACAAACATAATTTGTTGGGAAAAAGACGTGACTTCATTAAGCAACTAGGGCAACTACATCTCAATGAAAACAAAATATGATAGAAAAATATAATGATAAAATATGATTAACAGCTCCAAGCGAAAATGCCTGGACAGATACATAGAAACACAATGATGCTTAAATAAGAAAATTATTATGAATATGCTAAATTAAATTAGAGGAAATGTACAATACGGCCTGATGCTCTCAGAGATCTTCGTATACAATGAGATGATTATTAAATATGGATGTCTAAGTATCAACATTGGGAAACTTGTACTAAATTGCTGATGTTATATGCAATAAATGACTAGTTTTGGTGTATTTATAAGCATATTTCTAGTGCGTGACAAACGCAGTAAGGGCAATTGTCCATATTTTGACCCTTGGTATTTTGCCGTAATTTGTATATTTAGTTCCTTGTTTGCTTTACAATATTTTACTTTTCAAGTCATTTTCATTTTTTCTTGAACATTAGCATGAATCTGGAGGCACACTGCGCTAATATGTGAATACAAATTAGTACAAGGCAGATGTCTATCATTATATGGTTGATCATATTTCGATAAGACCACACACGAATCTAAAGGATGACCAAATACAACTTTTTAAAAACAATGATTCAAATGTGCATGTAGAAAAAATGTAATTATATGTGGCTTCTTAGAAAGATAATTAGCGAAAATGACTATTCTATTTCCAGATGTAAAATATATACATAGTTAAGACATTACCCTTAGTTTTTGTCCACATCTAAAATCACGTGGTAGAACTACTTTCAATAGGCATGAAGCCCGAGATTATTGCGACCAACAGACGAGATATTAAGATTGCTAAATCTTTGAATATTTAAGGACGAAGGGTAAAACCAATGTTATTTAAAAGAACAAGTCCTAAAAAATGGACATTTATTTTACAAACTAAGAGTAAATACAGGTGTGTGTTTGTAGGGTATAATTCTTAGGGTATATCATAAAAGTTGTATATTCCTTTTCTTTTTTAAAAAAAAAACACCTACAAAATAAGTGGCTGATAATTGACATCACATAAGATAATGAGTTTTAGAAATTTCTATGTGTAAACAATTTCGATGTTAGCTTATGCGAGTGGATATATTGTCCAATATAATGTAACAAAAATTAAAATAATTTAAATTTTACGAAAATAATTAAATTGGAATTTCATATAATAATTGAATTCTACTATTTGATATTGCAAAGTCATTTTAACAGATATCGTAAACTACAGTACTTTAAGATCAAAACATATTAAAACTAGTTTTTTAAAGGTTTTTGTTATATACAGGTATAGATAAAAAAGATCAAACTATTACAAGAGTGAAACAAGATAATAATTCTTATTCGGCTGAGCGCCACAATTCGTTTAACTTGCATAAATGAAGATACCAATCAGTTGACATTAAATATCATTTTACGAAAACCAGGCACATGTCGAAAAGTAAATAAAATATATACATTTACATAACATAAAAATAAAGCTGATTGGCTTATGATATAAGTTATATAAATGAAGGCAAATACGATCGGAGAACAAAGCATGCAACCTCTGTAACCATGAAATACAATGTACATTAGAGGTAAAACTAAATATTATATACATGTAATACCATCCATTATATACGGAGTCCTTATGAATTCCCGAGAAATAATTCGTTTTTACGAGATATCAATTTTCTATGACGAAATAATAATTCGTTTTTACGAAATATTAATTCGTAAATTTTAAAACAAAATATTATTTCGTAAAAACGAAATATTATTTCGTAATTAAGAAATATTGATTCTTTATTAATGTTTCATTTTTACAAGATAAATCCACTGATTGAACAGAATCATTAGAGCCACTTCCACTTGATACCTATGACATTAACTGTCGTTATAATAGGTGAGGGCAGAAGCCATGAAGGTCTTGGCCAGAAGATGATCCCTTTGGATTTTTTGGGCATTTGTCACAGGTCAAGAATTGATTTTAAAAATCATGCAGGGCCTTTTCCAGTTATTTTGAGAAATGGCCACTGGTTTAACTTTGGGAAATATTGTGTTATTTTATAAAATTGACAAATTGTCAAACATTCAAAAGGGGTTGGCCTCCAGATGACAGAAAATAGAGTTTTGGTAAAATTTATAAAGAAGGCTTTAAAAATGATTAAGTTCCTGACTAAATATTAGTCAGTAAACGCATATTAAATAGTAATTGTTTTCTTCCTTAGTCTTAGACCTTAACGGGACGGTATAACAGTACTGTATATAAATTAAAATAATCGCCTACTGATTGAGTTGCCGCGATAGGCGTGATAGTATAGGCGATAAAACAATTGGGGTCAAGGGGTTGTGATCCAAACTCGGACATTTTTCTCTTTCGTTTTATTTTATCTATTTTATTGAGTTTTTGAAATGAAATATCATGTTTCTATGATCGCACGGTGCCCATGCATGGATTTAATGATTTTTTAGTGAAAATCTGGAGTCCAGCCTTTTTAGTTATACTAATGTGTATAAAAAGACGATAATAATGTAGCCTGTTTCTTTTTTAAAGTAACACATCAGAAAAGAATTATTTTGTCAAAAATCCAAATATTTTGAATTTTTTGCCAGCTGTTGGGAATATGTAATTGAAAAGGGGGAAAAGAGGATATCTTTGATTGAGAATGACTTCTTACTCAAACACCCTGTTCACTAAAATATATGTTTAACTATAATTAGGCTTATAATCGTTAAATTTGGTGGAAAGTTTGATACAGGCTTATTAACGACCCCATTTTGATCGTGGGTTAATAGGTTTTTTGTCAAGCACACAATGGCCTGCAATATTTCGTTATAACGAATCAATATTTCTTTAAAAAACGAATTGTATATTTATCGTAAAAATGAAATATTTTTCATAAAAAGACGAATTAATATTTCGTTATTACGAATTAATATTTTGTTAAAACGGACTAAGACCCGGGGAAAAAAGTTGGAAAATGTCACCTTAAGGGTTCTGTATTAAAATCACGAATTTAGGCAAATAAAATGCTAATCTCAATATCAGATGTCGGAAGTCGGCATATTTTACTGTAGATTTTAATGAACGATGTCACCACGTTAGAATTTAAACTTGAAGTAATTTACTAAAGATGAAAGATATTATGCACGGGTATCACGTGACAGGATTAAAGCTGTACATTTTCAAAGCAGTTCTATACCATTTTAGACAAGTGTTTAGACCGCCATGCACTGATAGCCCGCAAAATGAAAACGATTTATTTCTGAAAAGAAAGAAATCACTTGATTAGAGTTTGATCTACGTTTTGATTCTCAAAAGATATGTATTTATTTTAAATGATAATCATGTTGTGATTTAATTGATTGACTGGTTATATATGTGGTGAGAAAAATCGACAATTATATAATATATTATTTTAGTTCTAATCCTGTGGTATTTGGGTCCGCCCACTTCGGCGAAGGGACATTACAAATACATATGGACGATGTCAAATGTACAGGCTCTGAATCAAGCTTATTTGATTGTCCGCATAGAGGTTGGGGATCAAATAATTGTGGTCATGGTGAAGATGTCGGCTTATATTGTGAACATGGTAATCTTTCTTATAATAATAGTTTTTATGAATTTGATTTAAGAATAACAAATATGGGTTATATGATTTTCTGTAAATAGAAAAGTGATATAAACCGATTTTTTATGTCCGATTTCATGAAACAACATTGGAAATTAAAATATAAAAGAAGAAAACTAAGACAGAAAAATTTGTAACAAAAATGTAAACAGGAAAAAATCCTGACATTCTCCTACTTTTTATTATAAAAGTTTACTAGTTTGCTTGTCCGCTCTATGAGGCATGGCTATTTTTTTGACAAGTTATATGAGTATCATTTTTCTTGTAAAATTTCCCCTTCCTTAACTGTATGAATATGTGATAAGGTGGTAATTCGCGCAACGCAATATTGTGTATAGATAATTTATAAGGTAGTTTTAGAAAAATTGCGGTGATTTGCACAAATGGTTTAACTTATTTGTGCAAATATTCATAACAATATGCTTCTTTTCGTTAAAATAATACAAACTCTTTTGCAAAGCCGTTTCGTGTTTGTGTAGTGGCGGGTAACATATTTATTTCAATTTCCGGTTTAGGTTCAATCGGTTTGACCACTGTGATAAAAATGAAGTAGAACCAGGTTTCTTGGAATGAACGAACGATGATAAAATCAAAATGAAGTGCATACGAGTGATGATCAAGAAATACTCAAAGTTAAGCAATAAATTTAATAATATATGTTAAATGTTCAAATAAAAACACTACATTTATGCGTAATATATCCTCTTTACAGGGAAAAAAGAAACATATTAATTAAACACATTATGTTTACCACATGCATATTTAAGCAAACATAATAATGCAAAAGCGGCGCAGTCTTAACGTTGTCACAACTTCATAAGGGTTGACGTCAAAAACATACTAAAATGCTTTCAAAGCATTCGCCGCTGTTCGCAATAAAGATCGATGTTTTATTACCCATTTGGTTATTGAAAATGTTCGAATACCATGAGGTTTCCTTTTGTCGGAAAATCACGGATGTCATTCACCGTAAGAGTGCTAAAAACTCAAACCTAATGGCTATTGAACTGTTGTTTGATTTTATTGTTTGTGTGCCACAGCGACGGAGAACGTTAACGTTATGCGCATTTTTTTATCCCGCCAACTATATGTATTGTCTTAAGATTAGTCCAACAGTCTATCAAAACGTCTTTTCTTCTAAAACTTACAAGATTCTTGTGTCGGGTTTCTTATGTCTTGAAGGATACGTCTACAAATGTTAATGAAAGTTCCCTTTTCCTACCGCCTAAATTTTTCAGTTGTAACAAAGATATAGTATTTTAAAAGCAAAATTCGTAAACAAAAGAGGAGATAACTCTTGAAATAACAAAGATGTAACAAAGAACATTTATCTTAAGTTTAAAAAAGTTTATAGGTACAAGAATAGTGAAGAAAATTAAAAAAAAAATTAGATGAAACCAATGACTTACAAATCTAATCACATATGATGTATGTGTTGATAATGAGTGTATATTTGAAATTTGAAGTAAATACATGAAGAATAAGAAAGTTAAAGAATGAATATGAAAAATTTAAAGTTTAAGGAGGATTATTATGATGTGGGAGTTTGAAGTTAATGCTATAAGAAATGAAAATGTTTGAGTAAAGAATCATTTCTAGAATATAATCTAAGTTCAAGGGGGACATACTTCTAGAAATGGTAATGCTAGAGTATTGGACCTTCTCACAAATGATCTGAGGGATAACTAGAAACATATTTATATTAAAAAAAACTCCGGGTTTTTTCCGGATCATCCCTCGTATGCACTTCATTTTGATTTTATCATCTTCCGTGCATTTAAAGAAACCTGGTCCTTCTATTTGTACCTCAGTCATCTCGTCTGCACAACATATCTGTATCCTATCAAAACTCTGAATATACCTGTCAATGTTCAGATTTATATTGCCTAGCATTTTCTGTTACAAGCTCTTGTTTAAAATGCATCAAATACATTATATGCTTAAGAATAAGTCCTAAATGAGAAACTATTTTTCTTTCTATTTTTTTTTTATTTTAATAATTTTATGACATACTTGCGGTGGCACATTTGTGCGTGTTTATTTATCTTGTGCGCACGAGATACTATATTGTGGCCACGAGTTACCAAGTCGTGACCACAAGAAATTAAGTTGTGTGCACGAGATACATATTCGTGGCCACGAGTTACTAAGCCTTGCGTACCACTTAATTATCTCGTGCTAATGGCATAGTCACTTGTGGCCACGTCATAGTATCTCATGTGTATGAGATAAATAAAAATACACACATTTCATCTCTGTGTCACCGTACTTACTGGCTACAGGAAATTCAATAAGTATGTGCAATACTACCCAGGTGCAAACTAACAAATATACATTGAAAATGATTATTTTGTTCTTGAAAGTTCGATTGGTTGACGGGTCAAGTCAATATGAAGGTAGACTGGAAGTATGGCATGATAACACTTGGGGGACAGTATGTGATGATAGATTTGGAACGCAAGATGCAACGGTGGCTTGTAAGATGCTTAAATATCCACAGTAAGTATAAAAAATCAGGAAACATAACATTCACACTCATTACTTTTTTCAAGTTTGAATTTGTTGTTATCGCGTTTGCCATGACTCAACGGCCTATCGGATGAAAATTTATCTTTTATGTTGAAGATACGGTAGCAGAACTACATGTTTTGGAGCCAGGGTTAATATTTCATGTTGTTCTCTTGGTTGACTTCTATCGAGACGGTCGATGCAAGATTCGGTAACGCAAACCGTACCAAAATAAAATACAACTCCGGCTGTTTAACTGTCATCAGTATAACGCATGCGCAAACAAGACATACACGAAAATGCCAGTTGAACGTCGCAATCACACAATTAAACATGTTTGGTTTTTAAAACAGAATAATTCGAGGGTTTTTTTTGGAAGCTGTGAAAGATATTGTAGCTTTAGTGTTTATTGTTACTACCTTTCGAAACATGAAACAGGAGAACGCGATTCAGAAAGGAATAATCAACTGATACAGTTAAACGGATTAAAAACGGAATAAACCACTGTTTGTAGTGTTAAATGAAACTTAAATGATATATGCCTGATTTTCCAGTTACTGCTTTATTCACCCGTTGTTAATTTTTCGTTTAAGTAAAGTCGTATTTTGAAGAGAGAGGAACATGCACATAACAATTTTTGAAGACAGATTCTAATGATTTTACTCATTAAATAATATTAATTACGCAAAGTAAATGCTCCAGCAATCAATCTTAAAACTTTGGAGCGGTTTGATGACCTATTCAATAAGCAAAAGACATCAATTCCTATGCCTTTGCCTCCCTAATGTTATGACCTTTTATCAAGACTTACTGAAAAACACCTAAAACAATTTCTATATTTCAAAATTACAACTTACGCTTACTGCTGCCGAAACTTGGTCATGCATCGGATATAAATACGTCTGATATGTTAATCCTTATACTTTTAACTGCTACATGTATATCAGGAAAAGTAAAGACAAAAGATATGAGTGTAAGGTACTGAATAAATGTTAAATTATTTGGCAACATACGATTATATTGTTTTTTTTTTTTGTTTTTTTTTTGAAAACAATTTTCCAATGACTACGCAGAGATGAACTTTGATATGCCTTGTTTTGTTTGGGGTCTTCTTTTTCTACTTGCCATTTGTCGCTGTTGCTTGGTTTCGTGATGTTGCGTTCATTGAACGCCGCCTTTCCTTGTTAATCTTGTCTATCATATTTTTTGCATGACGGGTCACTAACTCCTTCGCCATTTTGATTATCGTAATATCAATATCATGAATATTTTCACACTTGCATGTTCATTTGTTATTATAAACCATTAATATTCCTTCAAATATTTAAAAAACAACATGTACTAAAATCATCTGTTAAATTGTCGATTTTATCAGTGACATAGATCACATCTCTCTGCAATTTCTTTTATTTTCAAACTTATATGTTCACACGCGGAAAACGCTCAAAAACCACTATATAGATGAAAGTTAATATTTTGCATACATTTTATTAAGTGTTCACTGATTGTGATAAAAATATAGTTTAAAAACATTATACTCTTGAACCCTTGTCGCATAAAAAATATTTAAATACAAATACCTGTAAGATGCCAACCACTTGTATTTGACCTCCATTAAAATGTCAGCGCAATATTACATTAATTTTACATTAGAAAAATAATAAAATATGCTTATACATTCATTATACATCCTCAAACGAAGTAAAGGGGGTAACTAGGAGTCTGATTGTCGGTCGGTCAGTCCGTCGGTTGGTTTTTTTTCATGGTTTCCGGACGAGAGTGTGGAATGAGATGTTGAAATTAAACTTGGTATATAGCGAGAGTGTGTGGACATCCCGGTTGGTATAGCATTTGGACCCTCTTGGGTCAATGGCAAGGTCACCGTTACTAAAAATAGAAATATGGTAATGAATGAGAAAACTTGGTGTATAGTAAGCTTATATGAAGACCCCGTTCGGTAAAACATTTGGACCCCCTAGGGTCAATGTCACGGTCATCATTATTAAAACCTAGACACATAATTTTTGGATAATAGTGTAGCGTGTACCGAGCTGTTGGTTATCGAATCTTTAGCTACAAAATAAAATGATTTTAAATCACAAGATTCTCAAATGCAAAATATATAATTTTTCTTGGGATACTTATCCGAAATGATTTACAATATTCAAATATAAATTTTCCTTGTGGTTTCTTAACCTTTTGATTATATTTTAACTTAATAAAAACTCTAGAAATTATAAAATGCAAAAAAACAATCTTCAACTAATACTTAAATTATCCAAAATATATATTTCAAGACGCAACTAAACTCTATTTACTCTTACTTTCAAACTAAAATTTACATTCCTAAACCTATCTCTTATTTCTAACTATTATATTTCAAATCAACAAACTCTTATCATAAAACGTTCAAAAACCGATTCTTCAAATAATGTCTTCAAATAAACTCTTCTCTATCAAACACTTATCCAAGAGGTTTTACTTAGGCAATTAGGTATTGTTAGCACCAGTATCTAAGATGCCTGGCTACTAGTAAATACAATACATGTATTACCTATATCCAACTCTTGCAAGGACAACAGGCCGACTAACTATTTAAATCATAAAATATTTTCTGAAGAAGTAAAGATATTTTTAGCACCAGTATCTAAGATGCCTGGCTACAAGTAAATACAATTACAACTTCGATCTAAACGGTCCAGAGCCAAAACCAAATCTAACCAAAAATATATTTTCAAAAATAATTTATGCCAAAGGAATTTTACAGAAATCATAAAACGTCCTTAGTACCAGAAATCTGAGATTTTTGCGTACCAGTAAGTATTTATGAATTCGTTTCCACTCTCCAACGGACAGGAACAGACTGATTTTTTACACTGAACACGCTCTATTTATATGCCTGTGAAGCATCATCTCCGCAGTGAATATAAACAATGATTTTGATTGGCTAAAATAATAAAACTTTTCTTGAAACTGATTTCAACTAAACCTTATAAGCGTCTGTCATTTGAAGTAAATTTCCATACAAATTATTGTGAGTAAACAAGCAATTCAAAATATCAACACTTTGGATGATTCTACTGACTTATATCTATTTGACGATAAAAACAACTAAAATGCCTACTCTTCCTATCTCATTAAATTTACGAATGAATTGTATCTTCTTTTTTTGGATTCAAACGGCGAACTTATAAAAAGGGGAGGCAATCAACTTTACTACAAAGTACATTTCCGTCACAATAGATAGAGTTAAATATGAGATATTGCAATCAAACTTAGTGTATAGCAAGCTTATATAAAGATCCCGGTTGATTTGCATTTGTACCCCCTAGGGTCAAGGTCAAGGTCACCGTTACTAAAATAGAAAAATAGTTTCCGGACAAAAATGAGAGCTAGGAATAAGATATTGAAATCAAACTTAGTGTATAGCAAGCTTATATGAAGACCAAGGTTGGTATTGCATTTGGACACCCTGGGTCATGGTCACCGTTACTAAACATAGAAAAATGCTTTCCGGACAATAGATAAAGATAGGAATGAGATATTGTAAACAAAATTGATGTATAGCAAGCTTATATGAAGACCCCGGTTGGGATTCGAATTAATTGAAATAATTATGTGTACACAGTTGATTCTTCATTTACTATAGGTTCTGTTCAAATATGACTTCAGACCAATTATTTTTCAAATAGTCAAAGTTGCTGGTGGGGGTATTAATCACCTTCAGTGATAGGTCTAGTCCCACATAATTTATCAATCAATGACAACATACATTTTTTTAAAATAAAAACGTCTGGCAATTATACAACCAGTTGCTTACTAAAAAAGTACAACATAACTAAGCTCATTTTAATCCATAATACAAATCTAAAAACCTTTAAATATTTGAGAGAAAAAACATGACCCAAAGTACCAAGTATTCATTTATCTGGTTGTGATATCTCATTTAACTGATTATAATTTTGAATTGATTATAAAGCAAAAATTTAAAAAAAACATGTGTTTTCTACAACAACAAAAATCGGAAGCAGCGATCACTTTAATGACAGAAAGACAGGTCCTTTTGTCTACAGTGGTAAAATAATTTTCTAACCAGAACAGAACAAGGAATTTTTTTCAGAGTTTTCAGAGAAAGACGCAATGATAAATCTTTAACGAAATGAATGACCCCGTGTTGTGTATTTAGATATTTTTGAAGATTATTCAATTCTACGGCGACACATTATAAGTGAATAGTCCATATTTTAAACATTCAAATTGTTGATACAGTTAAATAAAAGAAAAATAATAAGCTTCTCTAAAAACACAATAATGTTAAACGCATGTATACGAATGACTTACAGTCGAGCATCGGGAAAAAGAAAGATAACTGTAGTAGCTTCAATCACGGCTTAAAAGCCGTGCTTCCATTCATCAACAGATTTTTACGAAAACGATATTTGCCTCCAAAGTAATTAATGATCAGAATATCGTTCTTCCGGTTTAATTTATTTGAATAAATAAAAACAAAGACTTGTATATTTGTGTTCTAAAATTAATCGGCGGCGTAAGAGGAAATTCGAATTCATTTTACAGCACTTGATTTATTAGCAAAGAAAAAGTGTGTTTCCCAACATAGCTCGTTTACAACAAAAAACTTCCGAAACACGCTGTTTATAATAAAATTCATAGAACTGACGATTCTATTTGCGGAAATGGTGAGACATACATGATTGAAAGGGATAACACTACGTAATAACTCGAAATAGTGACGGATATTCCTTTCCATTTTCTGAGGTAACAAGATGTTTCCCGCAGTACATATTTTAAGTTAGTGAGGTATATCGATAAATTACTAAGTTGGCGGTGTAAAACAAAAACAAACAAAAAACGGTGACATGTGCAGTTTATAAGTGTGGTGCATAAAGTTTACATAAAACTTTCTGATCAATTTTCACTAAATAGATTGTTTCAAGTTTGAATAAACTTTGCAGATTCGTAATTGGTTTTTTGTGGGTTTTTTTTTTCAAGAAATATTTAGCTTAAACTTTATATTTGAAGCTGCAAAGTCAGCGAGGAGTAATGACATTTTCAATTCAAATAAGAATAATATTTTGGAAAAACGAATATTTTTTCCGTGATTTTATTCACTCACAGGAGAGTATTTATGTGGCTAGAGGGACAATAGGTAACTGTTCTTTCTCTTTGATGTCATTCATTCCGTAATGCTTTTATGTGGCTATTTTCTTTTGTGTGGCTAAAAAAACAATAGAGAGAACAATAGAGTAGCACATTATTACTGTCCTGTGAGAACGTCCGTCCGTCTGTCCGTACGTACGTCTGTCCGTCCGTACGTCCCAAAATCTTGTGAACGCAACTCCTCTTAAAACGGATTGCAGATTTTGCTTAAACTTCCAGGGATGAACAACCTTAATATGTAGATGGTAGTAAAGGAAGGAATTTTCGCTGAGACCAAATTTAACAGAATTATGGCCCTTTGTTGATTTTTTCACTAGATATTATGTAAAAGTTTTGTGAACGCAACTCCTCTTAAACCGGATGGCAGATTTTGCTTAAACTTCCAGGGATGAACAACCTCAATGTGTAGATGTTTGTAAAGGAAGGAATTTTTGCTGCGACCAAATTTAACAGAATTATGGCCCTTTGTTGATTTTTTCACTATATACCATAAAGAAATTTTGTGAACGCAACTCCTCTTTAACCGGATCGCAGATTTTGCTTAAACTTCCAGGGATGAACAACCTTAATGTGTAGATGGCATTAAAGGAAGGAATTTTCGCTGCGACCAAATTTAACAGAATTATGGCCCTATGTCGATTGTTTCACTATATACCATATATATGTTGTCAGTGGGGGCATCCGTGTCCTTTTGACACAGTTCTAGTTAATCTTAACTCTTTACTTCATATAGATATTTTTCTTTTCTTTTCTTCGGAACATTCCATATAATATCATCTGAATAAATCAAATTCTAGTTAAAAATAATATTTTATTTTGTAATAAAAACTGTCCGGGGTATTCCATCAATATGCAATAATCGTAAAACAGAATTGTTCTTATTCTTTTACTCTAGGCAACAATTTTCTAGGAAATGTATTCATTTTAACTATTAATCTGTTTTACTTTTTTGCCAAATATGTGCATATTCTTTCTATTGCAAGTACCTTATGTGTGGAAATGAATTTACATAGGTCGCATTTGACTTATTACTCTTATGTCTGTCGAGAGTAAATCAATTATTCTCTAATCTACTATAGCAAGAAACAACAACAAATATGTAATGTCTGCTATAACATAGTTACTGGACAAGCATGGGTAGAGAGATTAAACAACGCAGCCGTCTGGTTACTAAATCTATTTACTAATGATACTACATAGAGGTGATGCCAGGTGAATTTAGGCGGGGCTTATCAGCTAGTGGCTAATACTAGCTGACCAATAGCGAGTCAATATATTACATCCGCCTTTTTCTCAGAAGAATAACATGCAAGTAGTTTAAAAAGTTCATGAACTCAAAATCCCTGAAATAAAAGCATTATAATCATGAACATAATCTAGCATGTCATTTGTAAATAATAGTGGTCATTTATCTAAGACGCATGAAGTTTTCAGAGCAATAAAGTTTAGACATTTTGTAAACAGTCTCAGAAATAATGTTACACTGATTAATTTTAATGTTTTCTCTAACAGTTTGAATGATAGCATTTATTGCTATTTAATTTAAAGTAATCATTTCCTGAAACATGTCATTAATTTTCTTAGTTTAATGGTTAGTCTGTATGGTCAGTTTGTTTTCATTGAGAATGTGTCTGACAGTTAATCTCTGATAAAATTGACGGATCTGAGTGATATGCCTTCACACAATGTCGTTGTGTCTTGATTTTAATTTCACTTGATTTCCCGTTTGTCTAATAACAGTGTATATTTCATTATTCCATTTTGAGTCTAATTTTCCTCGATGTTTGTTTAGAATAAGCACTTTCTGTCCAAGTTTATATGTTATAATCCGAGTATTTGCCTGCCTGTCTGCGTATTTCTTCATGTTTTGTTTTTTGTATGAGTTCATTTTTCTTACTTTTGTGTCATTTTTCTTTCTTTCAAAGTCCGGTAGTTTATTCCTTATTGTTCTGTTGAATAATAGGGATGCAGGTGCGGATCCTGTGGAAACATGAGGGGTTGTTCGATATGTCATCAAAAATTTGTAAATTTCTGTTCGCCAGTTTTTCTTTTCATTGTTAGCAGTCTTAACGCATTTTGCTATTGTTTTGTTGAAATTTTCTACCAATCCTGCTGCTTGTGGATAATAAGGCGTAACACGTTGGTGTTTTATTCCGTTTGCAGTGAAGAAGTTTGTGATTTCTTGAGATACCATGTTTGGTCCATTGTCCGTTTTAATCACTGACGGAAGTCCATGTGTGGCGAATATTTTCATTAGTCTTTGAATGATAAATCTTGAAGTGATTGATTTCATGATTTCAACTTCTGGATAACGAGAGTAGTAATCTATTACTACAAGAATATATTCTCCCCCTGGGAACGGTCCTGTTAAATCCACCCCAACGGTTTGCCAGGGTGTTTCTGGTAATTCGGTTGGTGTGATAGGAAGTTGTCGTGGCGGGTTTGATACTAGCTGGCACTGGAAGCACGTTTTAATCAGCATTTCAATTTCGTTGTCAATGCCAGGCCAATAAATTTTTTCTCTTAGCATTTGCTTTGTTTTCACTATGCCTTGATGTGTTTCATGTGCTATTTGTAATACTTTTGGCCTAAGTCCCTGTGGAATTACAATTCTGTTTCCCCGTAACACAATGTTATTATGTACCGACAGTTCATTGCGTAACTTGTAGAAAATCTTGAAATCTTGATTTTTCAGCCATTTTTTATGCTGAATGCACTTGATAAGTTCTTGAATGAATTTGTCCTGAGATGTCTCTTTATCAATTTGATCTAAGGTCATAGCCATTGGCACGGCATTTTCGCACACATAATCCATGTAACCTTCTGTGATATTTGATATCTCACATTTTTCTTGACTATACGTTGACCTTAAGAGGATGTCAGCTGGGTTTAATGCTCCTGATTGAAATTCAATGTTGAATTTGTAACTTTGTAGTCTAAGAAGCATTCTTTCTAGTCTAGCTGGAGGTTTGTGTGTTGGCTTGAAAATGTTGACTAGCGGTTTATGGTCTGTAATTACTTTAAAGGTTAATCCATACAGATAAGTGTGAAACTTTTCTATTCCCCAAGTTACTGCTAAGCATTCTCTTTCAATTTGACTGTAACGCCTTTCAACATCATTTAGTGTTCTGCTTGCATATGCTACAGGTCTTAAATGTCCATCATTTTGTTTTTGAACCAAATTTGCACCCAAACCATATGGTGAGCCATCGACCATTAGAGTTGTCTCAACTTCTGGGTTGTAGAAAGCCATGACACTTGCACTTGTTATCAGTGTTTTTAATTGTTCAAACGCAGATTGTTGTTTTTTTCCCAGTCGAATGGAACATTTTTTCTTGTTAGTTTTCTGATAAGTTCCGAAATTGTTGCGAAATTGGGAAGAAATTTCGAGCAGTAGTTTAGCAGTCCTAAGAAAGATTTAACTTCTTTCACATTTTTTGGTGATGTTGTATTTAGCACTGCCTTTATTTTGTCATCATGTGGCATGAGTCCATCAGCGGTGAGGGTGTGACCCATAAATGTGATGGTTGTCTTGCAGAATTCACATTTACTTTTGTTCAGAGTTAGGTTTTTGTCTCGTAGGCGTTGTAGAACTTTACGCAATGTGGCATCATGTTGTTCTTTTGTTGTGCCATATACCACTATATCATCCGAAATATTTTTGCAGTTCGGTATGTCTTGAAGTGTATGTTTTATTATACGTTGGTAGACTTCTGATGCACAGGAAATTCCAAACATAAGTCGGCGATAGCGATATATTCCATCGTTTGTGACAAATGTTGTTATTTTTCTTGACTGTGGTTCGAGCTCTATCTGGTGATACCCCATGTTTAGATCTAGTTTAGTGAAGAATTTGGCTCCACTAAGTTTCTCTAGTGTTTCGTCAATGTTCGGCATTGAAAACCGTTCACGTTCAACTGCTGTATTTGCTTGTCTCATGTCTACACAATTTCTTATGTCTCCATTACTTTTCGGAATAATTACCAGGGGTGACACCCATGGTGTAGCACCTTCAACTTTTTCTATGACGTAAGAATCTAGAAGTTGCTTAATTTTTTCTCTGACTTGCTGTCGCATTTTGAAAGGTATTCTGCGATTTGGCTGTGCAATGGGCTTAACATCTTTGTTGATATGTAGCTGTAACTGGAAATCTTTGAGTTTTCCTTATCCTTGAAATCTGTCACTGAACTCCGATAAAATATTATTCATGTTATTTTGATTTGTTTTCACATTGTTTATGCAGAATTTAAGTAATCCTAGATCAACTGCAGTTTGCTGTCCTAATAGTGGTGTACATTCTTTATCAATGATGTGAAATTTTATTTTTGTTTCCTTTTCATTTAATTTCATTTTCATTTCTGCAATTCCAAGAACTTTCAAAGGTATTTTTTGATCATAAGGGTAGATCTTTGAATGACATTTGTGAAGTGATGTTGATTTTGTTTTTACTTTTTCAAAGGTTGCGCGATCTAGGCAGTTAACACTAGCTCCAGAATCTATGAGCAATTTACATTTTATTCCTTCTATTTTAACTTGCACATATGGTGACTGACATTTTGTATTTATGTTGAATACACATTTGTCTTGTTGTACACTTACATTTTCTTGATGATCATTTACGTAATGCACGTGGCTTTTTGAGATTTGCACATGTTTGCATAATGTCCAAGCTTGTTGCATTTACGACACGTAATATTACGAGATTTAAGACATTCGTGACCAGAATGACCTTTTTCCTCCGCAACGGTAGCAGCTCTTGAATTGTGTCGGTTTTGGTGCTGGTCTGGCTCTTGGCTGGTACTGCTTCCGCTGTCTAGTTGGTTTGTGTTTAACATGATTTACATCATCTTGATAGGTATAATCTATTTTGTGTTGATTTCTTGTAAACTGTTGTATTTCATTGGCATGCAAGTTTGCAAGTTCTGTTGTGCGGGCAATATGTTGATTTTTTTCTAATGTTAGGTCTTGTTCGCGTAGAAATCTGATCTTTAATTCTTTTGAGGTACAATGTTCTATAATTTGATCGCGAATCATGTCGTCTGCCGTATTTTCTGGAAAATCACAAGATACTGAGAGTTTTTTGAGTCTTACAATGTAATCATCTACAGTTTCATCTGAGTGTTGTTTTTCTTGTCTAAATCTATGTCTTTCATATGCTATTATTTTCCTTGGATTAAAGTAATGAGTTAAATCCCAGATGTAATAGGAGAGCTTTTTTTCTTTCGTCCTTTGTTATTCCGGCTGCATGTATATAATATTCAAAACGTTTAATGTAATTGTCCCATGAACTGAATAAGTTGGTAGTTTGTCCAATAACTTTGAAAGACTGTGGCGTTGGCAGTTCAAAAGATGCCATCTTGAAATAATTTATATAAATCCTTGATTCTTGAAAATAGCCACAATAACTTTATCACTGAACTTATTATTAACAAGTCCTCTAGAATTAATTAAACTAGTGAAAAGTATTATCCAATCATCCTCGTCGCCAATGTAATGTCTGCTATAACATAGTTACTGGACAAGCATGGGTAGAGAGATTAAACAACGCAGCCGTCTGGTTACTAAATCTATTTACTAATGATACTACATAGAGGTGATGCCAGGTGAATTTAGGCGGGGCTTATCAGCTAGTGGCTAATACTAGCTGACCAATAGCGAGTCAATATATTACATCCGCCGATTTTTCTAACAAATGGAATATACTATATTGCTTTATATAAATTTAAAGCACTCAAATTGTGCGTTAGGCGACTGAAAGACTTGTTAATCAAAAATGAATTGAAGATCATGTTGATAGTACATCAGTCACTTTAGACCTTTTAATTGAATCAAATTATTCAATGTACTAAATTAACATATTTGTTCCTAGATATTTTACTTAGGAAATAGATATCAATTCTGAGTGCATTGTTGTAGAATAATGCACGGTTTGAGTTCAAATGCGTAGTAATATAATCACGAAGGCCGATAGGCCTGAGTGATTAATAACAAAGCATTTGAACGAAAAACGTGCATTAGTATACAATAATGCACGAAGAATTAATATCTATTTCCATTCTAACACGTCAAGAAAAAACATAATTATTATTATAAAGTTGGACTTTATGTTTGGTGGTTAAATTTGTTTTCGCCTCAGAGTTTCCAATAGAAACGTTCTTTAAAGGCCGTTCCAGTGGGTTGAAAAAAAACTGTCGTTAAATCTACCGTGTGCAGAAACATTTTGAGAATAACGAATTTTGAAAACGTTGATAAAACTTTGTTTGTTAATTTTATTTCAGTCTATAATTTTCCAAGCGAAATACAAATTATTAAAAGTGAAATAAATGTAAAACTTAACTCGTCTGCGACATTAAAATAGCGTATTTGATTTTTATTGTTTTGCACGTGCTGTTTGGCGCTATATTGTGACGTCACGTAAACAACACTTTAAACGTCTGTACAGCGTTAACGACTGAATTAAAGATATTGGTGTTCGGATTCATTTTCTTAGTTAGGCCATTTTCTTTCATTCTAGATAGTTTTCACAACAAAATTCGACAAAAAGTTGTTTTTATTTATTAAAAATACACAGGGATATAATAAGAACGGCGAGTGCATTGTTGTAGAATAATGCACGCTTCGGGCCTTCTTTGTTTATATAGAAAAATTTCCGATAGTGTTAGAATTATCAATAACATGTTATATTATTCAATGAAATAAAAACATGAGAAAATAGGCCTCGAATTTCCTGAACGTTTTCATTAAGAAAAGCAAAAAACAAATCTTTAAATTAATTGTTGTTGCTCATTAAATGCAGATATCTTCTTCGACAGATTGGGTCTTTTTTAAGATTTTCTTAACAATTTCGAAGGCGTAATGGTTTGATTTCCTTTAGGTTGTATAAAACTGTTTCTCTATAAGTTGGTTTTAAAAAATACTTTTCAAGAGGATTTTTATCATTTGATGATACTGAAGAGACATCTTATTTCGACGTAGATAAATGAAGGGTGCTTATGCTTCAGCATAAAGACTTACTTCTGTAAATGTAGGTCTTAATGATGTGTAGTATCGAACATTTTAACGATATTAAATTTTGTATAGGATATTTTTGTTTCGTAATGATTTTCATAGTTAATGCTTTGTTTGTGAAGATACGTGTATATATAAATTATATTGGTTGTTTTGGTTTTAAGTTGTTTTGCGATGTTGATAAGATGCTGTTAAATTAATATGTGAGCATATTTATGGTATTATCCTTTGCAGATTTTTCCATTTTAAGTATTTCATTTGATCTATGTAAGAAGGATTAATTCTATGTTTAGGGCATTTGACATCAGTGTAGCTCCTTTATAAAATGTATTGTAGGAATATCTAGCAAAACCATGATAAATTACAAATTGTTAATGTTAATTGAAAAAGACTGTAAATGATATCATTTCGTCACTACAATTCAAATAATGGGAATTACAGACTGTAAATGTTGTTGATAAATATTATTATTTGTCATCTGTCGAGTAGCTTTTACATGATGAAAACTAGTTTATTAATGTCCTTACTACATATTATCATTTGCCAACTGTAGAGTAGATTTTTTTAAGTTGACTTTTGATACATCTCACTATTGATTTCTTTTTGTAAATATATACTATTAATTGTCGCCTGACAACTTTTTAAAAATTTTTT